AATTGCGTTACAGTTACGAGGTTCTACCTATTTAAACGAGGCTGATTTATCGACGCCGAGATTTATTACTACTCAATAATATTTATTGATGTTATATTATTACATTACTGATTCAAGTTTTTAGTGTAATGAATTCAATTAAATATTTGTGTTTTCAGGGCAAAAAATTTCGACTTATTTCTAGAAATAGTAGTACTAATAATATAAGACTTGCTGCAACGTACACCAAGTAAAAAAGTCATGTAATCAGTAATATCAAACGATAAGACATAGAAACAAAGCAATGTAACTAAATCTGCAATAAACAGTAATACAAACCGAGTGTCTTTTTCCGCACATGTCGTCAATTTTATTCACATGATACCTACCTACGTATCATGTGATTTTTTTTATTTTCTACAATAAATTATACCGACACAAATGTAAAAATACTACGATATTTTTACAAACGCGTTGTTTGTAAACAAGTTCTTTGATAGCCAAGACATTGATAGAATATCATCGCTCGTTTGGCCCACGCCGGCGCCCAATCAAGCATCCGGCAGTAGCCAAAATACTCATTTAATTCAACAAACTACGCAACGAAATAAATTGTTGACACGACACATCACATTTTCATTTTTATTTTTTAAACAAGATTTAAGATATAACCTTTTACGTAAAAATAATACGATATGAGTCATTGAAACATTTAAAGGTAAACGAATATTAATACATATTGCAAAAATATGTGTGGGAAGCATCTCGGGATAAATATTGATTTATTTTTTGTATCTACTCAAGCGAAACATGCGCAAATATAAATATTTTTACTTTTGAGAGGCCTTCAAAGAGTAAAAAAATGATGCAATGTATAAACATTCACTCTGCCTGCGATAAGATAAGAACATGATTATGACATAAGTCGAGATATTGCAGTCGCCTTTTTCTGGACTCAACCAATTCACGCTAAGCGGTCAAAAGCTATCCTGATCCCTAAATAATTATTTTTCACAACATATTTACTATATGAGTAATTTTAGAAGTAAGCCGTGTGACTACAAAGTGATATCGCTGAGTTTATCACGTTAAATTTACATTTTTACCTAAATATTAATTTTACCTTGCTATATTTACTGTTTTGGTGCCTGTTTCATTGTTTCTATAACATGTTCCTTATTACCATACTAATTAAAATCTATTTTAACGAATGACTCACGAATAACTGTTAATTGCACCATACATCGAAGCTTTATACATTAGATTTTTTCATGTATGCTATAATAGCGTGTTGGATATCGGCGGGTAACTATAATTAATTCTCAAACAGCAATGCGAGGCGAGCGCTAATAACAAACGTACTTGAGGCTGCATCATGCGCGCTATGAGCGTATAATCGCGACGCGCATTACCTTCCGTAAATTTCCGTGGTTGTGGCTCGTGCAATTGTCACACATCGCTTCAATTATTGTATTAACAAAGTGCAAACAGCAGATGCAAAGGCATTGAATGCAACTGTGCAAGATGAACAATGAAATTAATTAAACTTGTTGGTCTTTATTTTAGAATCTTTCTGTTAGCATTACGATTTACTATGCAACTAATTAATGAATATTAATTATTTCTTCAGAAATCTATTTAATGTTGATTTATCAATAAAATTTAGCCATGAAATTGTTGATAACCATTTTTTCTCCAAAGATACAGATCAACTTGAGTTAATATTTTGATTTTTTTTTATAAATCACTATTTCAAATGTTTATAACTTTTAAAACAAAAACCGCACAATATTGCCCAAAAAAATACAAAATCAATTTCCAAATGCATTTAAAATTGCACTCTTATCCCAAATAGTTTTTTTTTTGCTTACTAATTAATTAATTACTAAACAAGAAAGCTATCAAAGAAATAAATTGAATTAGAAGCAGACGCTTCGGAAAAAAGTATTATAACGCTTGCGATTAGAAGAAAATGCAATCGATTGGAAAGGAAGCGCACATTGAACTAACAAAATCGATCGATATGAGGTGAAGCGATGCGCAGCGCAAAACACGGAATAATAAACAATGGAGATAAAACTGGTCAGGTCGTAAAACTTCCTGCGCAATTTTCAAGCGCATTTGCGCACTCACTCAAGCCTACCATATCGCCGGCAAAACGACATAACCACACTCAAGAATTATGTAGGAACATACACTATGCACAAATAAATTGGATATTACCTAGCACAAAGAGCAAACACGACACGCACACATTGTATGTGTATATTTGCATAGTATTGCAAAAAGCACACGATTAGTTAAGTTCATAGACTCATGCTCATGAGCACGAGGCGCATAAAATATAAAAGATCATGAAACCGTTTCGAGTTCAAACGTGGGCAGCAGCAGCATAGACACACGGCCGGATTGAAATCGCCCGCGAGTCGCGTTCGGAGAAGTTAAAGAATGCAAGTCTACACGCCGCGGCCATACTCATCTAGTTGGGTTTTAGTGCGACTAGAACTAGAAAGTCTCGTAGTTTACGCTCACAACGTGAACAAAATCGTAGCAAAGCACAAACTGGTAGCATTTAAAACTAGATCCAACTTTTTTTCTTAATCTAAAATTCAATAATTTAGATTTAAACAGCAGAAGTTGGAAATTCTCTCATGTAAAGCCATGTTAATCAATTAGAATTATTGCAAAATAATTAATTACAGCTAGAATTTCAAGTATGCGCCAAGTATTTCTTATCAGAAGACGACCGAGTTGTATGAAATCAGAAATCAACGAAGTTGTTTTCGTCGTTTTCATTTGATCGCTTCGCTCCTTAAGATATTAGAATCGTAGAGCTCGCGCACACCGGCAAACCGGTTTGCCTCCATCCTCCTGCCATCCATATAAAGTGTCAATGTACAGGTTTAATTAAACGCCAGCGCAAAAACCAAACGCAGCAGAAACTATTCGAAACTATTCAAGCCATCAATAAAGAGTAAATTTTAACCTACAAAAAGAGTTCTTTATCTCCGGCAATAATTTCTAATATAATTCTAGAATGATTCAGTGCTTGATTCTAATTAGTTTGTTTCCATGTTCTTAATTACTATTGAGCATATACCATCAATCTGCGTCATTCCATCATTAGCATCACATTCCAGACATGATAAGCCGAGATAAAAATAATAATCGTAAAGTAAAAGTGATTCAATCATTTCGCTTCATTAATTCCTCACTTTGTTGTCCAAAGTCAAACTTGGAAAAAAGCGAGGATTCCTCTTATCACCACCGGCTGGTTATCACATGCATGGTACCTTCGGGTTTGACGCAAGCCTCGCGAGTAAATTAAACATAAACATTAAACATGAAAGATAAATTGAAAAAATCAATGTGAATCGAATGTGTGAAGCAAATAAAACGAAATCAAGTCGCGCCAGATAAGAATTCAATGATAAGGAGAAGGACGTCGTGTTTAATACGATTAATAATAATAATACGTGTATGTACCGAGTATTCACTGAGCAATATTTGTACAAGTGTGAATATAAGCATGGATTATCACACAGAGCTCGATTGTACGCATGAAGCACGTGTTTATAATCCACCATGCTTTCGTTGTTCAAAATTCAAAACAAATTCATACTAAAACGAGTTAAAAATAACTTGAAACACAATGTATAAACATAAAATTCTCAGTTCTAAAAACAGTAAAAATGAGTAAAATTAAACATGTATACAGTGTGTTTTTGTGAAAATATTTTTTCTGGCATTAAATGCTTCTTCATCATGCGTTAAAATAAGCCCGCAACGTTGGCAGGCCTGAAAATCGTGTCATGCTTAAAATTAGACGCGATTAATACCCACGACGACACTGATTATACCGTAAAACGTTACTCATTACACTGCGCATTTCATATTCAAATGTTTAATATTTAGTGCCTACATGCACACATTTAATATTTAAAATGACGTTCGGCGTGTTGGATGTTACGACTACTTTGTGCGCGCTCGCCAAAAGAAAGAACACATTATGCACATTACGCTCATTAAAATAATGTCGCAATGCGTGTCGCGCGACAATCGACATACACACACACTACACCCAGCGACCGCAGATTATTCAACAATTCAGCAGTGGACGCGCCTAGCAAATTTATATTCGCGTCGCAATTTAAATTTCAAAACCGCATGTTAATCGTTAAACAACAATTAAATACACATAACCTCAACGTAAGGTTATGTTAGCTTAAGATAATAAAAATTGCAATTTCTATAAATCCTTGATACATAAATAGCGATTATCGTGAGAGTAGAATTTGTTTTCTTTTTCGTTGCGCACGACTCACACGAACCACGTTGCCAATTGGATTCGCGATTCTCACTTCGGAAGCCGGCCGGTCTGGTCTGCAGGAATACATATAGTATATGCACATACAAAACCGGCATCGACAGAGAGAACCAACGCGCGCGCGCGCGCATTGAATTGCAATTCGCGAATTGCAAATTGCGCGCACCTCGGCGAATAACCGGTGAACCAAACAAGCAACCAGCCGATCAGCAAAAAACAAAAACTAAACCGGTAGCGCCACACACACTCACATGCATTACAAATAAACACAAAACATTACTTATGTTACGAAACATTCGAGAATCGAGAATCGTGAATCGCTATCGACACAAAACAAGTTTGACAACATCGATTTTAAGTGATTTTTCAACACGCATTCGCCCGTTTCAACAAAACATGACTTGTTGATACCGGCTAACGCTTTTTCCGCCGTTTCCGCCTTGTTTTTTCTCATGCAAAATCGGCGAAACAAACGTTTTCGTCACAGCTGTCGGGGTGTTACTGTCACCGGCGCGTCATTAGTCAGCAATTCAATCGGTCGCATTGTGCGGCGTTACGCATTCCATTTAAATAAAAACAAACATGGACATGCGACAGCTTACAAGTCATTCTAGAACGCTTTAATTTTCATGGACATGTTTCCAACATACAATGTGTAGAAATATAATATAGAGATTAGAAAATCTGTACATACCTGTCTCTAAACTTTCCGATTCCTCCAAAATTCTCTCGACCATTTTGATTTAAAATCACTTCCTATCGGTCGATGTCTAAATTTTCAACGTTTCAAACTTCCGTAACTTCCAATTTTTAACAACAAAAACGTTTTTGGATGATATATTTCGATGGACCTTCTCTCTGTGGACGTCTTCTCTCAGTTCAACTCAGCAAAATTAGATTTCGATGAGTTTCAATTTTGAATTTTTTGGCTTTCCTCCATTCGACTCTCTTTTGTTTCGGCTATTTGGTATAAAGCTGTATGCAGCTCAGTGAATAAAGATTTCTGATTCCTCCTCCTCCAATTGGATAATCCGCAGACTGGTCGTGGCTCGTTTTCCCATCGAGGGCGCAAAACGAACGCAATCACCACAGCAATAAATAGAAATTTGGCTCGATTCTTTTGTTTCGTTTTGTGCGCCGGCTCTCGCGAATGGCGGCTCGGTCGCTCTTCGCCGGTCGGGCCGGATCGGGTCCTGGGCGCCGCAGCGATGAACAAATATTGTAATCCACAGCTGAAGCACCACGTTCTCGACGATGACGTCGTCGTCGATCGGGCTTGTTGGAAAACGGCTACGAGATCACACGCGTTCGCACACGGTCTGGCTGCGCGTCGTTATACATTTGTCACTTGGATTCGTGGAAATGTATATTATACTACACGCGGTAGTAGAGTTAGAGCGAGATGTCAGTTGTTTTTGAACAAACAATTGCAGTAACTGGGCAAAAATGCAACGATTTTTACCGGTATGAGATGTGTAGGTGGATGTGTGTGAGTGTGCGCACGCGAGAGTCAGCCACGGTCGGTTCGGCTTGATTTTATTTTTGAGAAAAAAGAAAAGGTCTAAAACGTTTTCGCGTCCGTGCCTACTATCCGTCCATGCTCGCGGCCGAATCGTTCTGGTGTTGTAGTCCGACTGCCGGGTACGAGCGTTGCGCGTTGCTTACCTCACGGCCGCACCGAACCGAACGCGCACGACACCACACGACTTACCCCACCGATCGAGTCACGTAGCCATCCAACAAAAACAACACTACACCCACACCGCGCGTGTGATAAAGACAGAACCCTAACAGCGCGCATGATCCAGGCAACCAGTCCGCCACACTCCGCCAGCGAGCGAAATCATACGATCGTACATCGTTGTCACGTTTACGGAAAAGATTCTACGTTGCGCGCACAAAACAAAACTTGTTGATAACGCACGCACTCAAACATACCGCCACTACTTCTTCTAATCATCACCATTACCGTGTTACGCCGGGCGAGCCGCCCCGGCGACGTGCAATCAACTCGAATCGCACTCATTAAACTATCAAAACTATTAATAATACGACTACGAAATTACGGTCTTACTTACTGCGCATCACACAAAAGCGTTAAAGTAAACAGTTTAAAATTAGTGTGGAAAGTTACAACATATATGTTATGTTACGTTATCGTAAAGAATTTGTGACATTTTCAAATCAAGAAATGCGCAAAACGATACTTGCATAAAAATTATGCGCTATCGTTACGCAGCGAGCTATTATTATTATGCAATTGCGCACAATTTTCTAATTGCGCCGCGGGAATAATCTTTAAAATCAATGCAAACTATTCAGGTATTAATAAATTTCTTATGTTGTAAGTCTATCTACGGCTACATGACTAACTTGAATGGTTGTAAATTATTGTCGGTGAACAAGGCGCAACTTTGGTTTGTTTCATGCTGTGCCATTATTGTTAAACACTGAAAGCGGGCAATATTCAATGGCATTGTGGCCGGTTGTCGTGAGTGTCTAATTGGAATCTGACGATTTGGCAACATTCGCGTGCTGCGCGCGCCTTTATCGGAAAATTCCACCCTCGAGAGAGCTACCCCGCAACTGAAAACGCAGTGAACGTCACGTAGGCACTACGTTTACCCTTTGTACATCTTAAAAATAAGTTATACTTTCAGTATTAGCATATTTTCTAAACTTTTAAGGTTATAAAAGTGTTTAACCTATATTTCTCACCTGAAACTTAAATACTTTACACCTAATTATTGTTTTTCCGTTTTCTGGATAGTAATTTATGTTATTAATATATTACTGATTTTAAAATTTTCCACGCAGTATTTCACCCACAGAGTTGTGATCGTGCCCGGTTCGTTCATGCTCGTTGTGTAGTCGCTAACGTTTGTTTGCATGCCGTCTCTGTTCACCGGTATTGTGTGCTTTGTCGCACGCACGCGCAGAATACAGAGAGCACCCTTTTCGACCTTGCGCTGTTTCGGGTAGCGAGAGGCGCTTTGTTTGGAAAGTTCGCTAGGGCTCGCTCGCTGGGCCCGGCTCGAGCTACCGAAATAGAGCGGCCGGAACAAAGGACGATCGTTCACGCAAACAACCAACGCGAGTAATTCGTCCATTGACCGACCAAACTACCAAAATAAACATTGTTTATCTGAGGGTTTTTCTGTTGCGCCGTTGAGGAAATTAACCAGATAGGCAACCAAATAAACGAAATGTACAAAATAAACAAATGTGTCTTTTTTGGATTCAAGATGAAGTATTCTTCGCCGAATGTTTTGACGCTCACACTAGCCTCCCAACTCTATGAGTGACTAGTCGCAGAGGCTTCACAGTCAAAGGGTTACGGTCAAGGTCAAGCCACTTGTTACGCGCCGCGGTTACACGACGTAATTTCGCAAAACGCAATCGCCGGCGACGCCCCGCATTCGTTTTCAACAACATAACTTTACTTTTACTTCATCATCAAGCCATTTATTTTTTTAATAATAAACACAAACAAGTAAATACAGTGTGACACCTAATAAAATAATACCAACAATACATTCATATGATTTACACCAATATAAAAAACACACTGTATGTTTTAATTTGCGTGCCTTGATGTCTAGAATTACGTAACTAATATGAAGACCACTTTTTATTATTTATTTTCCACTTGACTTCCTGCGCTCATCACACACAAACAGCAGGCAAAAAAATTAGCATCACGCGTCTTGAGTTTAGTAGTCGTTTGTTTTTGTTTTCGTTTACAAGCGTGCAGATTCTGCGCAGTGAAGCACAAGTCAAGAGTCAACAAACCTATAACATTGGCCCTGACTTCTAAAACCACTTAACCATCGCCTAAACACACACATAACTAATCGCACCCAACCTAACCTCACTCAACGACCCAATCATAGCAGCAAAACGCTATTGAGCTATTCATTCACCGGAACAAATCGGCAAACAAAACGAAAAACAACAAATGCAAGCACACGCTTTGTGATTTCATCCTTCATTTGTGAATTTTTCATTTTACTGCGCAGTAAAAATTCGTAAACTGTTACATAATGTGCGTTTGACCATCTTCTTCAGAGTAAAAAAAATTAAACTATAAAACTCAAGGCCAGAGAATAAAAAGTAAAACCACGGCTACTCGCGGTCAAACGCATCAACAAATTAACATTACCATAAAAAATCCCACTGCGTTTGCTCCACAAACAAACACATCGTAGTGCACTTTTTTTAATACCATGTATGTATATAAACAATTAATTGTTATGCTTGACGACGCGCTCCGACATAATCCTCAATTTTCGAATGCTAATTCGGAACGAATTCAAAAACATGTTTAGAGCGAAACACGAAAGTAGCCGCGCATGAATTTTAATCATTTGTTGATGTGTGCGCGTAAATTATTTAATTAATTTAAATTAGCTTTGAAGATTAAATTTGTGGGTCGTAAACTCACCTCCGCCATCGCACTCGTTCCGGTCATCGCTGAGCTCGCCGCCATTGAAGCTGTCGATTCGATTCGTCGAGTTCCAAACGTCTGCCTCCTATCAACATACAAATGAAACAAAAATAAATATTAAATTAACAATTAACCCACCGTCGGCGGAGAAATGAGCATTTGATTGTTTATTTACATAAAAATCTCGATATTCTAGGACGTGCTAAATACAATATTAAATAAGTGATAAAAAAAAACTAGTAAAGTGCGTACGTGACCGTCTGCAAATTTGTTTTGTTTTGTTTCGTATTGAATTGACAGCAAATTAACTCCCGATCAATGTCGGTAATTCAGTTTCCTGTTTTCCTTCCTCCAGTTTCAACAAGTTCGCAAGTATAACAGTTTCATTTGTTTTTTTTTTCATCAATTTGTTTTGTTTGTAAACATGTTTACTACGTGTAGTTATGAATTAATTTAAATTCGAGTTTTCGAGGCGACGCTTCTTGGCCTTTTAGCTGATTTGCGTAGATATTTGCGTGTGGCGTGTGCATTCACTTCACTCACAGAGGTTCAGAGGCCTACGTGACTGGTAGCAGGCTCTCCTCCCGCAGAACAACGCACAAAACACCGGCGATCGCTATCGCTTCACCGGCCGGTGCGGAGTCCTCCTACCGGTTTAACAACATAGCGTAACAACCAAGGATTTCTTCAATCACTATTCTATTCGATTATTTCCTGCGAAGAGGTAGCTGCATTATTAATACTATAGGCAACCAACTCAACACATACACATTACCGACGTCATGATTAAAAAAAAAACTTTTAAAGCTTTGACACACTTTTCTTTAACTATTAACTAAAACAACCGAATCCATTCTTAAATCTTAAATCATGCGTATTTATAAATACATGCCACGAAAATATAAATCTCAGGTAAAAATAAGTGAAATTAGAGCAAGAGGCACGCTGAAAGTGTATTGTGATAGAACGCAATCGTATTAGTTATACTTAGGTTGCGTTTGCGTTCGAGTAGAGAAGGTTGCATCACGGGAGCAAGGAAACGATAATAATGGCTGAACGTAAACAAGGAAATTAGGCCGGTGCTACGTGCACGTATGCACACGCACGTTCGCGACAAGAAAACAAATGGAAACAAATGAAGTTATGCGTCATATACGTGGCGCGCTGGAGTAATGAATGTCGATTTGTCACATGCACGCAAAATACATGTGGATACATTCATGTGGATGCAAATAGTGTAAGGAGTAAACCAACAAGTAAGTAAGCGAGTTCATTGAGTAATGAGAACTCGAATTAAACCAACCATTCACTGGTTTTGTTAAAAAAGTTTAAATATTGCATCATGAAAACAGGATTTAATTTTTTTAGTTTAAATAAAAACTAAGCTTAAATTAGTGATTTAAATCGTAATTTATTGTTTAGGATTAAATTAATTTAAATGTTAAACAAGAAAAAACAAAATAAAAATATTTTCTTTGATTTTACGATTTTATTCTCACGAAAAAAAACAAAAATTAAAACAAAACAACTTTTCTAGAAATGCAAATGAATTAAATTTTTTTTTAAAAAGTCAACTTCCACATTATACCTATACCTACAGATAAATAACTTTTTATAAAATCAAATGTGCGTCATACTTCTACAACTTTTGCATTACGAAATATTTTTATTATTTACACACTGCACTGATTAATTTTATTATTATTATTAATTTAAAATCGAATGGTTTATTGGAGTCAAGCGAAATGTTGATAACCTTTAAATTTAATTAACTGGAATGACCAATATTAAATTTGTAGTTACAATTTGAAAGATACCGATAAACAGACGAAAGAAACGTAATATAAGGTAATTTCATGCAAATGTGTCGTCAGACTTTATTTCTTGGAGCCACGTTAATATTGATAGCATTGAGCGTTATCGCATGTGGATGTGCAGTGGAAACTCTGGTGAGTTATCATTATCATGACACATACCAAATAGGAGTCTGTGTGACACAATAATGTTTAAACTTTCATCACATGTTTACATTGCGAGTAGTCAACTTTGCATTTCAACGTGGGTATATTACCGTCACTTAGGTAGGCATATATGGATTTAACCTTGGCATTGTATTAAAGATGAAAATAATTAAATGCAAACATTTTTTGTACTTGTAATTAAAACGTAAAATGTTAAATTCTTAATTATTTTGTTATGAAGATACAATTTTCAACATTT